AAGCATATTGAAGAGGATAGGTATAAGTTGAAGTCTCCAGTGTCTGACAGTAGCTCTCCAGTTTTTGAAAAGGAACTTGTTCCGATTAATGTTACTGAGGGTGAAGAAATCTATCTCTCAGCTGTTGTGAGGGGTAAACCTCAACCAATGGACGTTACTTGGAAACACAATGGTGTTGTTCTTGAAGTAGATAATACTGATGTGGTCCTTTTCTACATTCCTGAGCGAGGGCTTTGCGAACTGACAATTTCAGAAGCCTTTGTAGAAGATGCTGGAGTTTATGAAATAGAGGCACTCAATGAATTCGGCGTTGCGGTCTCTCAGACGGAGGTCGTTGTTCGGGCTTTAGAAGAACTTGAAGAACCTGTAACAAAGGAGATACCATTGAAAGAAGCTACTTTTGTGGAGGAAGAATTGCATCCTGAAGAGGTTCCCATCCCCATCAAAGAAGTTGTTGAGGAAACCTCACCATTGGTGAAAGCAAAACCATTTGAAACTGAACGTAGGCTGACTGTGATTACACAATATGTGTAAAAATTGCTTTTAATGGTAATTTAAATTTTTTTTTAGTAAAATTATCAACTGAAGCCAAACCGATGCAAGAAGAATTGGTGGAAAAGGACAAATTGTACGAGTTCACGATTGGAGCTAAAGGCAAATCAAAGGGGAAAACGGAGATCAAGGAAGAAAAAGAAGTGACTGAAGAAGAAAGGAGAGAAGGAGGTAAGTATTAATAAATTTTAGCAAAACGAAGCTGATGAATAGTAACATATATACCCAGCAAGTATATATTTTAAAAAAATTGATGTGAAAAAGGGATGAGAAAACCTTAAGATAGGGAATAATCGTCAATGGGAGTGTTGTGCGATTGCTTGGGTTGAAATTCGCTGTGTGGTGCAAGTGGGCAAGGGAATGAAGCGTGAACGGTAGGGAGTACTGTGAAACGGCTTGAGAGTGCGTTCATTGTGCAGAATGAAAATGATATTGGCGCATTTAACCCCAAAATCAGTACTCATAGCGATGACCTGAGAGATTATTTTGAATGAGGCAGGATAGATGAGATGTGGTTGCATATATGAATTTGATAGTGAAGAGGTGTACTAACTCAAGGAATTTTTTCGAAGCACCCGGACCTGTCGAAATGGGGAAAGATAAGGTGGATGGTAAGCGGAAGAAGGAATCGCAGCCAGAGCCCACGGTAACTGCTGTTGAGAAGGAGGAGATGAAGGAGAGTAGGACAGACTTGGAGGTGGCGGACCGTGTCGATGGAAAGGGGGCGCTAGAGGCTACACCATTGCGTGAATCTGTGCCCAAAGGTTAGTTTCTCGAACATTTCTGTCGCATTATTTTTTTACTAAATAATTTTATTAAGTGTAATGTCTTGTCTCCGAGCAAGTCTTAAATTAGGGTATTTAATTAAATCTAGAGTGGAAAATGTTTGGTGAGTTTTGTAGATGCTATTCTGCTGCATTTATCCTTGAATTTTGGGTATTCATGCCCTTTTAGTACCAAAAGAATCGGAGGAAATTGAATTCCCAAGAAAGGAGTTTTCTGAAGACGTCCAGGCGCTCCCAGAATCTGCAATGGAAACCACAAGTAATGGCTTCCGTTGTCGCTATAAGTTTGCCTGAGCATAATTAAGTGTTTTTGTTTATTACTTTATGTTTGAGAGATCGTGGTACTTGTAGCATCGTTGGACTAATGTTTAACAATTCTATTACCGTTCGTGCGTAAGACTGATTTGCCTAGAAATACAGGCTTTTGAGTTCGTATTGTTAATGAATGGCTTTCCTACAATCCTTAGATTTACCCGCTACACCCGTGAATCTCCGGGCTGAAGTTACTCCAAAGAAGGCACCTATTCAATCTCAGTCAGTGGAACTGACGTGGGATCAGCTCGATGGTGCAACTCCAGATAAATACATAGTTGAAATAACTCCCAAAGGAAAGGAGAAGTGGATTGAGTTTAAAGTTGCAAAACCGTCCGGTAGAAAATTGATACTTCTTACGAAAGATATGGAAGAGTTTACAGACTATGAGTTTAGAATCACAGCTCAAAATAAAAAGGGGAAGAGTAAACCTTCCGAAGCGTCGAATCCAATACAATTGGGTAGGTTTTAGTCTCCCCATTTTCAATTATGTATTGCAAAGCTGTACATTTTCGGGCGATTAGGATAAAAAACTATTTTAGGCCAAAAAAAGGAATTAAACAGAGAAAAAAATACAATATTATTTGGTAAAAATGTTTAATCTAATAATATTAAACATGTAGCTAAAAACAGTTAAAAAACGGTAGTGTTAATTTTTCGATATGAAACGAGGCACCAATATTTAAATATCAATATCTATTTAAGTCAAAGAAGCAAGCGCAGTGTAATAGCCTAAGAAACGTACCAAAAAAAGGTAAACAGATAGCAAACAATTACTAAAATCGTAAAAATGTACATTAAAATACGTATTTTTTAGGAATACCGCTGGAGTTCGTAAGAGAGTTGCCGGATATCGTAGTAACTCAAGCGCCAACAGAGGATGAACAAATAATCTTTGAATGTGAATTATCAAGACCTCCAAGGGAGAAGGTACAGTGGATAAAGGACGGAAAACCACTGCCAGAAAAAAAGCCAAGTCACGTTAACGTCAGCGAGGACAAAAGCTCAACGGTACACAGAATAGTATTCGACGAAGTAAAAGATGAGGACGTGGGAGAATATCTCATTAAAGCAGAAGATGCAGTATCCAAAGGAAAAATTAAAAAAAGAAGTAAAAAATAGAACAATATTTCCAAACATTTTAAAAAACAGTGATTATTAAAGTATTTGAATTTTC